AATATACCTAATAGCTGCGTAGAATTACCAAGGTTAGATTTGTCTTAGTATACCAACATCAAAAAATTGTGATATACTCCCCTTTAACCCCCACCCCACCCAATAAAAAATGTATGCTGAAAGAAATATATTCTAAAAAGTTCCAAGCACCTACATGATGTGTAACATTATGCGGGACAAATTTGTAGTACCTAATGGACACGTGACAAGTAAGTAACTTAAATTACTACACGTGAACGAACAAGCAACGAAACGGCTTTATGTTCTTCTTTGAACAAGAAGTTAATTGGTGGTTTTGGATTTGACATTAAGCCTTACATTAAAGATGACTTCAAAATCAATTTTTGTGTTTTACATAAAAGGTATAACACCGACCTTCGAAATAGCAGAAAGTACGTCCGGACATGTAGATATGAAAGTCAAGGTCACCTCTAAAAGTCTTATTAGGGTTAAATACGTGCAGCTGGTGCAAATCCCTAGGCGCTTAGCAAGATTATTGATGGAAAAAATCAAGTTATACTGTTAGTAACTTTTAACAAGGACTTTAACATTGACCTCACATAATGACCATGAGCCGTTCCTTCAAAGTCCATGAGGACGTATATAGAACGTAAAATTTCCCAATTTCCGATGTCGAAGAGCGGAATTTTCACTTAGAAGAGGTTGTCCTTGGAATGACCTTGCGGGTGCAAGGTTAAATGGCGACTTTGAACTTAGATCTTACTAGATATTCTGACGTAGGATGTTCTTCCCATTGCGGATGTAAAAACCTGGGATTTTGATAAAGAGGCTAACCTTGAAATAACCATGATTCTAGAGCTGAAGGTCAAATCCAAGGTGACTATTGAATTCCTCTGCAAAGGCTAGCATGGGCCTGACCTTGATCTTTTACAAAATTACCTGTCCTGGAAAAATACAGAGTGGTCCGTAACTCTTGCTACATATGATACTTAGGTAATAAAGTTTCTTCCTCCCAGCGTATTTCATCATTTCCCTTCCCCACTACACATTACCTTCCCTTATCGACGCGGAATCACTCGCAAGAGTGGAGGTATCGTTTCCAAAACCACCCCATCTGTCATAAAAATCCATAACAGAGTTTTTATTACTTCGTTCAGACGTAATTGTGAATAATAGCGTGATATGGGCCGAGGGGTGTTGGGTTTCCATTTATCAACTGGACCTGACAGATGTTTCCTAGGTTAAGGTTGCAATCGATTCCTATCAAAGTCGGTTGTGTATGAGGAATAAACAAGTAATTATATGGTAGGATTTCTGATATACTTTTGAAACAACTTGAGAGGTAGGAAAACTGGGAAGGCGTACCTAAGTGATTCCATCACAGTGAACCTCCCAAATAACAATTATCACTCCTATTAGAGTTGCAAGTATACTGTAAGAACATTGGTAAAACCCTCTTAGAACAGCTATACAAGCGGAATGGGCACACCTAATAGGACACCTCAGTCATTTAAGAGGTTAAATAAGGGCTGCAGGTAACAGTTATAAAACAAAAGTGTATGCCTCTTGCAGCCGCTATAGGACATTTGCGTCAGTGCAAGATTCAGTTTTTGTCAACTATACAACTATTCTCTTACGTGATTCTACTTTATTGCAACCAAACTATTTCTTATGTATTGTATAGACGAAGTGAAGAATATATAATTAACACATTACAGTCATCTTGTTTACTTATATATCGGCCATTGTGAATTTCATACACAGGTATTTGATAAACTTCTACACTGTGATATAGGGCTATTGAATTACTTGCGCAGCAAATTTTATTGTGATTATCGTGCAGATTAGTTACCCAATTTCTACGGGCTTCATATTTGATTCATATTTTGACAACGATCAAAAGTATGTCTAGATTTTTAAGATGGAAAACTGAACTTATCTGCGTTAAATCTTCCACAAATCCTATATTTAGACACAATTAGACAAATGTTTATCACTTTATATCTGTAATTTCGAACTGAAACATAATTATTTAATATTAAATAGAGGAATAAATGTTTGCCCAATATGGCGGGTGGTTGTGTACAATCATGGCATCGTCCATGTTGTCTTTAGGTTATTAGAATATTTTGGTGTTGCCTGCAGGTGTTATACAACAATTTGACAAATGTCTGAAATGAAATACCGACAGAGTCGAATTTGTACCAGACCTATATCTTCTGTTTGAACAGTTGATAAAACCTTTTGAACCAATATGCATGCGTTGTTTGTCTTAAAACGTTGATTATGGCATTTTACAAAAATATGACAGCAGAAAGTTAGGTTATGGTGAAGTTGTTTACAAACATATTTAACATATGTACATCCTTAAACAGTTACTAAACAACAGTTGTATAAGTGCTTCCGTTGGGAGCAATTTGTTGGCTAAAGTAGTAAATTGCACAGCAAAACAACAAGGCTCGGGTTTGTTTTATTAACGTTACCATGGATGCTACAACACAACCATTTTGACGTGCAAATATGCCGTATAAATTAGTTGTATAAACGTTTATACAACAGTTAAAAATTTGCCCTATAAGGTGTTGTATGACTATGCTATAAGAATATTTTAAACACCTCATTTCAGAGCAAATATGTTGCAGAAAGCAAATCTGCATTCCACACAACATTAAGCCAGCATTTTGGTGTTCAGGCAACAACAATAGAGAGCTTTTACGGCTGAACGGTTCTTTTACCAAAAGCTTATACCACTATTTTGCTAGTTGGTCTGACAATTAATCTATAGCGTGTACCAGAGGATTTATTGTTAAAGGACGTTATGTACAGTTCTTATGAAATAGGGATGTTACTACGATTAGATTCACCATACTCCTTTGTTCTTCTTAAGGAGTGAAAGGCTGTATCTCAATTTAATCCCTGAATCAACGATTAGGGGGAATCAAGAAAATCAAGGATCGTATGGTAACTCTAATGGTAGTGATGTATCATCACACAAAAGCTGGAATCGTCTTCAAATTTCACAACTTACCGTCAGGCTCGACTTGCTGATTCATTCATCAATTCTCCAGAAGGAGCTTGTCCCAAGTTCCTATAAAATAGTTCCTACAGTAATCGAGATACTGGTCCCTGAAGGAGGCCAGCGTTTTTAATTCCCGCTTTACTGGGCGAGGATGTATTGTAATCGAGAAAAATTTGAAAAACAAGATGTCCGTTTTTTGTGCATTACGAAAAACAAAATCATTCATAGCCGTCAGTCTTTCTGTCTGTTGGTCTGTCTGTCGGTCTGTCTGGGGGTCTGTCTGTCGGTCTCTCTGTCTGTCTGTCGGTCTGTCTATCGGTCTGTCTGGCGGTCTGTCTTTGTTAATCGTTGGCCTATATTATGAGAAGTACCTACCGCTCGGATTTTGATGAAATTGTCATATAGGGTTGCTACTATGCCAAAGACAAAAACGCTGTACAGTTTTTGAATATCGGTTCAGTGGCGGCGGAGAAAAAAACCAAAAACGAAAAAAAATAAAATCGCTCATACTTCGTTTTTTGATATTTCAGAGGATCCTGATCAGTTTCAGAAGAAATGTTGTAGAAGTTAAAATATGGAGGTTAAGCAATGGCAACACCGCTGAAATTTGTCAGTCTCTTTAACTTCTTCATATTATCCCATAACAGTCACAATTCATTTCACGTATATTATTAGAACTACTGATATTATTTGTGGAATTTGTGGAACAAACGCCACATTTTAAATTTTTTTTCATTGATAAGCTTTTTGGCCACTGTATAATCCAGTGGTACTCCGCTGAATCTCAGAAAGCATTCTCTCCTTCTGCGACCCCCTAAATCGAAGACATACTTAATGAGACAATCCGTGGAACAAACAGTCGCGCATTCAGTCGAACGATATCCGGTTCCATAGCAGCGTTGATTCCCGTCTTATAAATTTGCCGTGTAGGAAAACAAAAGAGGAGCACCAGTCGTCCTGTACTCCAATGCATATCAAGCAGGCGACGCAAGCGTTGATTTGACGAATGCGATTTCGAAATGCCTGCAGCCTGCGGAGAGCTTTGTTCTTCGTACCGCCGATATGGCGCTGAAATTCAGTTAGTATTTTTCATGGAATATTTACATTATGCCGTGTATTGGTGGATGGATAGCAGGAATTTGCTATAAAAATTCGCATGGAGATAGCCGTAAGCTATACCAGTGAGGGAGAGCGTAAAATAGATTGGCCTCGTTGAAATATTAAATAATTTTCCAGTGAATGCCATATTTCTTGGAGAACGTGGAATTTACAATAATTGTCACATTCTGAAATTTTTCCGAAACCGGTTCAAGAATATATATAGGGTCAACCTACTTGATGTCGTCTTAAGAAGCCGTGAACCCTTGCACAGTAGCACAAGGAACAAGTTATAAGTGAGAGACTACACAATCCTGGAAGCCAACTAATTTGCATATTTTAAAATTCGTACCACTCAAAACTTTGCGTCAAATGGAAAGGACTACAGTAGTTGCATGAAGAATAATATCCTCCACGATCATTTAATCTCGCATATAATCCCTCTCCTATGTGTTTTCAAATGTCAAATCACTATCTTTTTTTGGGCAGGAGAAATATAAATCCACTATCATGCAGTTCAACAGTCTTGCCATGTTTGCCCTTCTTGCCAAAACTGTGTAAAATATGCACAAATGCGGCATACCGACTAGTCCCATGACTGAACCACTCACTTCTTCGCTACATATCCCACCACGGTAATGCTTGCAGCATTTCGTAACGATGAGTAGCGTTGCGTTAAGTGTTCTTACCACAAGTACCTTGTCATCTTTATTTCAGCGCCGTACATATACTTGTACGAGTATACGAGTTACGGAAGCCCTTACAATTTTTATATGTTAAAAGTAATGTATTGACAAATACTTCATACTTTTGCGAAGTTTGAGATTTATTTTTTAGTTTTTGAGATAATCCCTTTTTCTTGATAATCCTTCATTTTATTTCATATTCCATAATAACAGCTTCACATAAATATTTAGGAAAGCTGTTATATGGCCTCTGAAGAGCATTAAAATATTACTGCAAAATTTAGATATGTCTGCTTATGTCGTACCTCATTACCATATTTTACATAATGTAACGACAATACCGTTTTACTACTTACTAGCCTAATTTATTACTGTTATACTAATTCAAAACACTTTGGACCAATTTATAACAAGTTTATTACTATGTCGACTGGGCTATTATTCCATTTTAGTTCTGCATCCGCTGTCCACTAACTCGACTGTATCTGTAGACTTGATTGTGGTTAGCTCGTTCCGCCATCTGGTCGGATACTTATGTCCCTATCACCGAGTCGAGAAACATTCCAGCGTTTTCCATAATCCATAATCAAAGTTGAAGAGTATCTTCAAGTTATGACAAAATTATAACTGGAATTTAAAATTTTTTAATAGAAAGTATTCACAATTGAATCAAACGATCTGTATGGAAACAGACTACTCACCACCATAAGAAACTGACACTAAGCCCCTAAGCAATCGGTCTGATTCTAATGTAACGTTACATCTTTCTGAGTATTATATCATAAAGGTGTTTACTGAGGAGAGAAGATATATTTAAGTCATTTAGGGATATATGGTCAATCGTTCCTACAATACTGCCTACTTGATTTTTGTAGCCTTTTCTATTCTCCAGAAAGGCTTTTATACTTCTAGAGTTCTACTATTCCATGTCAGCGTTAGCACTCTCCTATTGTGAGGCTATGCTTTCTTTTTGAATCGAAGGAAATGTCAGGCTATATAACAAATGATATAAATCAAAAGCTTGAACAATTTGATACAAATGGATTTTTGTAACATAACCTCAAAATAGATCGTTGACACGGAATAGTAGGAAACTATGAAAATCAAAGAGGCCATAAACACGTCCTACAATTGTAGGAACGACTGACGAAACGGCCCTTAATTTTCAGGTAAAATAGTTATTTACATATCAAATGCGGAAAGTGATACTCTTCTGCACGCGATGGCAGTTGCTGTCAAGGATGGAAAGTACACTTTCCGCAAGTGTCTGGTATAAGATTTTTTGTAACAGTGCAGCACGAGATGATAATGGACCCAGAATTTTAAATACGTACTATGTTTTATTAGAAATGTAACAATTGGAAAATCAACATCATCAACAACAACAACATGATTAATTCATTTATAATAATTATTAACAATACCAAAAGTGAAAGCACAATTACTTGGATGATAAAAACGTGCAGCTGGCAAGGAACAGAAGAATTACTATATAAGTAACTGAAGAAAGCATTTCTATTAGCAAAAATATTCAAATCGATACGAATAACATGTAACGCGTGAGGAAAAGCTATGCGTGGGGAAAAGTGCTACTTTCTGCACGCAGGTGCGTGTTAAAAGTGGGTACTTTCCGCACGCTGGTAGGAAAATAATATTTTTTGTACGAAAATGCTGAAAGTGCCACACGACTCCTATTTTGTTATTAACAATAATTATAATAGAATTTAATTGTTTACTTTTTTGATAGGCTGACAATATAGTGATGCAACTTTACCATCATGCACATTCTTGGCAACAGTACGGATACGGTCGTGTAAACGCTTCGGGATGTACACACTCCATGCCTTCGTCCTTAGAGGAGATACCGCATCTGAAAGAAGTAGATATTTTGAGTCAAAATTAAAATTTTGACATTTTCTACCTTGAAAGAGAAGCATTAGCGCCTGTATTGATGAACTTTTGTTACTGATTAAAAAAATGGGAAAAGTAACTAAAATTATATTAAGGAGTGTACCTTGTAATGTCATTCATAATATTTCGCATTATTTTGCAAATTATGATTGAAAATTATTATTAAGAAAATATTTTTCTGAAATCGTAAGCAAAGGAACGGAACGTATTTTAAACATACATAGTTTTCACGTCCTTTTTCTGTTTTAAGTTTTATTCCAGACATCGACAGCTTTGTCTTTTTCAGAAGGACTCCTTTACTTTTATTTATTGATCCCATCATTCTTTTCGAACTTAAAGAGGGATTTCGAAACGATACGTGATAGCAACTAACAGGAATCAGGCTTGTGCAACTTAAGGCAAAAGCTATTGTAGTTCACCCATTGAAATTTTAATCAAACATCTACATATATGAACCAATTCAGTCAAAGAGGCGAACCTTGATTTGACTTGAAACTAAATATAGTTTTTATTGTTCCACTTGAGTTCAAGCATTTTCAAACTACTTGATACTTGATAGGTGATGACAAATTATATTATATTCAGTGAATTCAGCATTACTCAACCAGTCACCCCATGCAGTATGACCTTAACACCCCTTATAAAATGAAGGTGTCGATTTAATGATATTGTAAACAACTTACCCCTTTACTGTAATTGTCTGCAGAGGAGGGAAACATTCTACCCGAGAACAGTCTGAGAAATCTAAGTGCTCTCCAATTCTTAATACAACATCTCTTCCAGCTCTTTCCGACAAAAGATGATTAACACAATGTATTCCTGTGAACAAATAAAGTGTTTGATGGCAACAGTCAGTTCAGGTATAATGAAGGGTCCTGGGTCGCTCTGATTTTTTATCACAATGCGAGCGGTGGCCTTGTTTGTTTACGAAGTTGTTCCACTGTGTAGTCCACTGAGTTCCGCAACAGAGGCTTCCTGTGCGATTTCGTTTGATTATAACGTCGCGTCGCTGCGGCTGAAGTTTGACATAGTCCCTCAAGGTCTCTATGTAGTATCTCATTTGAGAGATATCATGGAGCACTACAAAATGTTCGTAAGGTCCTGCTTTGCAATACTTGAAGACTTTGCATGTGTGTCTTGGCAATAAAAGACCAAGCCGCATATGCATAAGTAATGGCTGGTCTAATAACCATTTTATATAGTCGAACTTTGTTTTTCAAACTCAATTTAGAGGGTCTACGTAACAAGGTATATAGTTGCCGAAACGTAATTTGGAGTTTGGTTTTCTACGCTGCTGTATGTTTCTGCCACGTCAAGCCTTTATTAAGGGTGGGTCCGAGACACGTGGCAGTATTTTTCCATGGTATACGGCTTAAATAGCCTGCGTTTTCGAATGATTAATTTTATTCAGTCACTGTTCCACCCATTCTGGAACTTCCTCCACCGTACACTGCAACCCATCGTGAACCAGATCACTATTACACGACTGGGCGATAAGTGCAGTGTCGTCAGCATAGAGTTAGACTTCACAGATGCTGGGGCCAGGGCTCTTAGGACCGAGCCCTGGGGAAAACCAGCTCGTAGTAACCATGTTCTCGTCAAAACATTGTTAAATTTGATCAGAAACTGTCTCCGTTCAAGAAAGGATTTGAGTAGTTGTGGATACCAAAATGGAAACCCCTTTTGGATTAGTTTATAGAGGAGACGCGGGTGCCACACCTTGCCGGAGGCTTTTGAGACATCCAAAAGCAAGGTGCCAGTTCTCATGCTCATTTTTCAATTCAATTCTTATTTGTTATTAATTATTAAAAGATCGAATAAAGTCTACTAAAGTGGACTGTATTCTATAAGGGATCAGTAACAAATCGTTCGACAGGGACAAAAATACATGTGAAATTAATAGGCCTTTATGCACCTCATATTGTGATTTTTGCAATAAATTTGACATCTCTCAAAAACGGTTAGGGTTAGGTATAGGATTTCACACATGGAATGTATTTAGAATCTTGGGAAGATTTAAATTACTCATATGTTTATTATTTCAGCGTGTTCTACTCAAAATGAACAACTTGAAATCTACCTTCAGTACAACAGAAGGTGCTGCCATTTTGAAAGTTTTCTATCCGAATTCCCCGTATCAGTTATACCAGATTCCCAAGCTTTCATAAATGACTAAAGTTAACTTTTCGATTGATCGATCTCTGCAGTTTTACGAAAACGTGGTTTAGAAATGGTCCATTTGTCAGTAGCACAATTTTTGCTGTCTCCTGGAAAATCCAAATTATGCGAAGTACGAGGTTTTCGCACTGACTGATTCAAGTATATTTTTTGTTAATTCGGAAAGCGTACTTCATACGCATAAACTAGCTCTAAAACCCCTTGCAAGACTATTTACGAGAGTATAATCCTAATTTCTTTTATTTAACTTACCATCATCAACTTCATTTTCATACTGAGTCATCCAGGCATTCGTAGAGTGGACCGATACTATCAAAATAACTGCAAATTCAATTGAATACATTGTTTTCGAACGTTTTCGCAAAATATCAGGAGCTTGCTGACGAAAGTAAACTTATATGAGTTACACTATCAATGAGCAATACCATTTTCAATCATTTGAGCTTCATGTATTACAACAAAGTATAATAACGGAAGAAAAAACAAGATAACAGAAAATGTTCAGGTTATTGTTACATTACAACAAAAATAAAGTGCTTGCAAACAATGAGCTATTAGGAAAGAATTATGAATTCTGGATAATAAATGCATATAATTTGTCGATTTTTGCGACAGTCAAAGTTATAAAAAACTTTTAAGACGGCAAATAATATTAACGAATTATGACCTTACTTCATCTGACTCGGAACATATTCAGTATTTAGTATTTAGTAGATTAGGCTTTTAGGAACATATGTTTGTAAAACTGTAAGTAAAGCGTATTTTGCTTTTCTGCGGGTAAGAGATTTAGGAAAAAGCTCTAGTAAATATACAGGGTGGTGCATCGAAAACGAAACAGACGCATTTACTGTTTTTGGAAAAACGCTGAGACCCGTCGATTTTGTTTTCGAGGGGGACACAAGTTTGGCAAAAAATCACGTTAACACGTGCAGCTTCTTGGGCGGGGGTGACACCAACCCTAAAATCTTAAATGAAAAGGGGGGTCGAGTGATACCTTATTTTAAAGGTCTTTCAATTCCCTTTATAATGATATAAAATTAATGTACTAATTTAGTACATAGTTTGCGATTGATTTGACCAAACTTTGTTGCTAAAATAACTTGTAACGCTTTATTACATAAATTAACGAAGCAATACAAGTGGGGGTTTTAGGGAAAGCTTATGTAGATCCTACGTTAAGTACCCGCAAATTGGAGACTGTGTGTGGTGTTAGTCGACGTACTGCCCAACGGATTCTAAAGGCCCATGGTTTTCATCCGTATAGAATTCACCTGGTACAAGAACTTAATGAAGACGATTTTGAACGACGATTACAATTTTGGGAAGATATGAGTGAACGAATTATAAACGATGAACATTTTCTATCCAACACTTGCTTTTCCGACGAATGTTCCTTTTTCTTAAATGGCATAGTAAATCGTCATAACTGCCGGTATTGGTCCGATTCTAATACCAGAATTTATCATGAGGTTCATACACAGCAGCCACAAAAATTAAATGTTTGGGCTGGTATTTTTGGCGATCATTTAGTTGGTCCTTTTTTCTTACCTGCAAATTTGACCGGTGAAATGTATTTGGAATTACTGGAAGACGCCATAGATCCTGCATTAACAGCCATAATTGAAAATCAGAATGATCGGCGGTACATTGCGAACAGGTTGATGTTCCAACAGGATGGAGCCCCACCACATTACGCATTACGTGTTCGACAATATTTAGATCAGATGTTTCCAGATCGATGGATTGGAAGAGGCGCCATTGAATGGCCTCCAAGATCGCCAGATTTATCACCTTTGGATTTCTTTATATGGGGTAATTTAATGAGCAAAATCTATGCTACCTAGCCAAGAAGACCTGCGACGAAGAATTGTTAATGAGTGTCTTCAAATTACTCCTCAGATATTGCAAAATGTGCGGCAACGTTTTGACCAAAATCTTTATTGTTGCATGGAGAGTCATGGTGGCCATTTTCAACATTTGCTCGCTTAACGGGTCAGTTCATTCTTCATTTTTAAATTACATTGCTGCCAAATGTATTGATCTCCACTAATGATGATGTATTAGTTTTATTTAAGCTTTAAATCGATAAATCTTTAAAACTACTGAACTGAAGTGCATTAATTTTATATCATTATAAAGGGAATTGAAAGACCTTTAAAATAAGGTATCACCCGACCCCCCTTTCTATTTAAGATTTTGGGGGTGGTGTCACCCCCGCTTAGGGGGATGCACGTGCTAACGTGATTTTTTGCCAAACTTGTGTCCCCCTGGAAAACAAAATCGACGAGTCTGACCGCTTTTCAAAAAAAGAACTGAGCTGCCAGTAAATGCGTCTGTTTCGTTTTCGATGCGCCACCCTGTATATTATGCCCTGGTCTATAGCTCTCTATCTTACAACATTATAGTATGGAGGAAGTCATGTGAAATTGAGTATTGTGGCACAAAAAAGATTCATCAGATCGCCAGTAGGCGTGGGAAGTAAAAAAATTGAAACACATTGTATTAAATAGTGTTTATTGGCAGCTTGCATCACTCCTCAGTATAGTCACCGTAGTACTCCACTTTTGGGAACTGCGTTATAACACTACTATCGAGTCGCATGGCCGATCCCTCAGGACAAGAGAAAACGTCCGCGAACTCAGCAGAATTGCTCACAATGTTTTGAATCTTCAAAGGGCTCGGTAGGTTTCTGCTTTCTAAAATATCCAATGTAAAAGATATGTCGGTGGTTTCCCAGCAATATTCTGAAAACCAAAATTCATGAGGCAGATATATAGATCTCTTAGATTTACACAGAAGCCAGCTCTTATAAAAATATCGTAAGAGGTAACTAGAGACCGTTTTCAGTTAAAGAATCAAACTAACCAAAATTGTGATTGCTCAGTTCCTACAGGGTGTACTGCGTTAGAGTTAGTTCGTCCATGATAATGACTAAAAGCAAGTTAACACGGGTCAGTATTGCATTTAGTGACACTTCAGTAGACACCATGCACGTATCAGTATTTCTGGTGTCGCTGATATCAGTGCCGAGGTCGGTAAACGTTATGATAGTCATTATTTAAATGGGTGATTAATGAATAATGATTATTATGCCAAATATCAGTCTTTGGGCCATATACCATATCAGCAAAGTTGAAGTGGGACAACACTAAAGCTTCGCAGAGCGTGGCTTTAGTATTTTGTGATAGGTAACGACTATGAGGGAAAATTATCTGCAACATTGAATATGCTTTTCTTAGGCACAGAGTAATGTGCTGTCTAAACTTAAGTTTAGAGTCAACCACTGAGCCCAAATCCTTCACGGAATCCCTAAATGATATTATATTGTCCCCTAGTTTGAGCTTAATATTACTTTCTAATACGTTTCTGCAGGAATCACTACAAAACAATATAGCCGTCGATTTACTAGGGTTTAACAGGCGATCTTCAGAGGTTTTGAGAAGGCTATTCAAGTCGGTATTCAGTCGGTTTGTTATAAGTTCTGACAGATCAGGTTTAAAGGAGGTATAAATTTGAGTGTCGTCAGCATAGAGATGATATTGACAATAACTCAGCGACTTCATGAAATTAAAAGTATATAGGCTATACATTAATGGACCCAAGATACTGCCCTGGGCCACCCCTGATGTAATTGTAACTGCATCTGATATGTTCCCGTCCAAAGTCACGCGCTGCATCCTTTCAGATAAAAAAGAATTTATTAATGCATAGGTCGGCTGCTCTAATCCAATCTATTTCAAAATAGCCACTAGTGTCTCATGATTAATCATGTCAAATGCTTTCGTGTAGTCCAATAATACCAAGACATTAACATTTCCCGCATCCTGTTCTCTGATGACATCATCCACAAGATCTGTTAATGCTGTGGAACAACTGTACCCGGTTCTAAACCCTGACGGTCTAGGGGGGATGATATTGTTCGCAAAAACGTAGTTAGCAACTTGTATAGCGATTGCCTTTTCCAAAAGTTTAGAAAGGGTCGTTAAAAGCGAGATTGAACGTAGTTGACCAAATTCTGTTGGATTGTTAATCTTAGCTAATGGAAGAACGTTGGCCAGCTTCCAGCTTTAAAGAAAATAAGACCTTTTAATACAACTATTTATAATATGGGTAATATAAGGAGCTATAGAATGGCAACACAAGGAAATCAGTGTAACGTTCAGGCTATCAGCGCCAAAAGCCTTCGCTTGATACTGAGGATACTATTTAAAACAAAATCTTCGTCGATTAGGTTAAATGAGGTTTCATTAAGCAAGGAGCTGTTGTTATAGAAATGCAACAATTCTTGTTTTGCAGTATTATTTTGTGATATTTGGGCAAAGTAGGTAATAAGTTGATTAACATTCCTTAAGTGGTCAAGGATGTATTTATTTTTATTTCTAACTATATTTAGTTTATTTAGTTCAGCCCATTTTTCCTTTTCTGAGCAATTCTGAAACTTTAAATTTAGATATGCCTTTTTTTCGGCTCTAATAGCAGAAGTGGTCAGGTTTCTTGATTGTTTATAATAGTCTCGATGACCAGGTTGGTGCATTCGTCTAAAACGAGAAAGAGCTTGATTTCGAAGCCTTTTCATAAACTTAATGTTATCTGTGATCCATGGACTGTATGGTCTTTTTCGATCATTGCAGTCTTTTAGGGGTGCACAGGAACCAAAAATATTCAATATAGTGTCTGTTAAAAATGATACCTTATGATCGATGTCATCTATTTGATATATGTTATCCCAAGGCGCTGGCTCAATGTCAGTCTGAAACAGAGCTGGATTTATTCGATGTAAAGCCCTAAATTTATAACAAAGATTAATCGGCTCGATAGCTGTTATACGCAAATCTACATAAACAAGAAGGTGATCTGAAACATTGGGATCCCGAACGCCCACATCCTCCACTATCTCGGGAGTACAGCATACTAAATCGATCAAAGTAGAGTGCTGATATCTGTATTGATTTCCACAATATTTAAAATTTTTTACTCCTGCTCTACAGTAACCATTGTCTTTCACGAGTGCGAATATTAGTGGGCTGAACACTTCCTGTATCTCGAAGTCGTTGGTACACTTGCACAAATGTCCTTCTGTCTGGGTGTACCCGTTGAGCTGCAAGATTTGAATTCGGACGAGCTTCACCGTAAACTAACAACATTTTAAATAAAGACGACGACGTACGCGAACAAAAACAAAACAACAGGCCCGATGCCCGATAACTAACCACTGTTACCGTTTGCGATCGATTGCCGGTTCGATAAGAGTGACAAAAGGCCGACGCGCTGTTGCCATGTGTGTTTTAAATATTTAGTTTAATGAAACTTACTTACTTACTAACTACAAATTTTGGCTTAGAAAAACTTAATGCCATTTATTTGTTAACTACCCAATTTAAAAACCTTTTAGATTAGATTATAAAAATTAGTAAGATTATGGTGATTGTGGTCGATATAAAGCGCTTAAAGTTGTAAACTATAAAGCCATTTAGACAAAAATCTATTGACCTTTGGGCCATTGGGCATATGAACTTTTTGACTTGTTTAGACCTCCCCTATCACTCATTTAAATAATGACTACCATAAAGTTTATAGTCTGTATATCACTCCAGGTTAAAGCTACCTTCATGAACTTTAGAGAAATTATGTTTCCAGTTCTATGCGATTCTAAAAGACCAACCCAAGGTGAAGAATTTGTATATCTAAAATATAGTAAAACGTCATCATTAAAACACTCACGTTGTGCTGCAGCAATAAAGAACAGTTGCTCATCGCTATAAGTTCGTGATGCCCAAGGTACAGATTGGAATTCAGTGTTCTCTTTGACGTAATCATGTACGAGTCTGAAGGCTGCATTGTCTAGCATAAGCTCATCTAACAGCAAACTGATATCTACATCCTGAAAATGTATGTAATATGATATGTTAACGTAACTAAGGCCGCAATGTGGTACTACCTATCCGAAACTCTTCAACGTCACATCAAACCATTGAGATAGAATAAAAATTCAATGACTTCAGATTTTGTTGTACACAGAAATAATTAGATTATTTCAAATTTTACCTGGTAGCTATAGGTACTGCCCATGAAGCTGTATGAATCTTTCAGAAAAAAGGTCGTCACAAATGTATTAGTCTGGTCAGCTATATATTTGTAGAACTGATCGCTAGATGAAATGCCCGGACCTGTAAAATACTTCCGTCCAGCTCGATCAAAATGTCTAACAAGCTGCTGAGCTAATTCCATCCCTAGCTGGGCAAATACCAAATATTCAGGCATGTTAAGTAACGATTTGTGAAGTGATGCCGAATGGAAGGCTGAAACAAAAGTTTTCTTTTGTTTATAATAAGGACTGTTACGAGGGATGTCTTTTAAGTTTTGCATATAGAAATAAAACAAAACGGTAGGTAGTTTTAAATGACTTTATTTCTTTTCGAAGTATTCTCCACGAAGATTAATACATGCGCTCGAACCAATTTTCGAAGCGCTTATTCCACTCGTTTGCTGGCAGATCCAAAACGGCATTTTTGAATGCGTCAACTGCTTCTTCTGGTGACTGGAACCTTTGACCACGCAGTCTGTTTTTAATTTTCGGGAGAGTAAAGAAATCGTTAGGCTTATATTGGGACTATATGGAGAATGGTCCAATAATTCCATGTCTTCTTCCGTTAAATACTGCTTTGCTTTTTGGGCTGTGTGCGAGCTTGCATTGTCTTGGTGGAGGATGATTCTTCTTTCGGGGTTGATTTTTTGAAGCTCGGCGATGACTTCTGGCGAACAAATGGTGGTATATTTGACACAAATGTCGCGAACATCTTTTTCGAAACACTTCGAGAACGGATGACTTTTGTTGGCTTTAATTCACCTTGGAACACCCAAACAGCCAACTGCCGTTTATTTTCTGGTTCATAACAGTAAATCCACGGCGCGTCATCACTAACAATGCTGTACACATTTTTTGAGTTTCCGGAATCGAAACGATCAAGCGTTTTTTGACACCAATTAACCCTGGCTGCTTTCTGCTCTTCAGTCAAGGTGGGGTATCCAACGAGAAACTAATCTTCTTACTCCTAATTCTTGTAAGATTTTTTGGATTGAGGTCTTTGAGATCTTCCAGGACGCCTCAATCTCGCGATATGTCACATGTCTATCTTCAATGATGAGTTTGCGCACAGCATCGACGTTTCCCTGGGTGACTGTCGGTTTTGGTGCACCCACCCTGGAATCGTCGCTAACACTCACCCGTCCACGTTTGAATTCTCCATACCAACGGGAAATTGTTGACTGATGTGGCGCTTCGTTGCCGAGAACAGAGAGTAACTCAGCAAGGCAATCTTGTTGGGATAATTGTCTTTGAAGGTTGTAATAAATTATGGCGCGAAAATGTTCTCGGTTGAGTTACATTTTTCTAATGACTTGGTGACACTTAAAAATTCACTGTAGTGAGAACACTGCACGTATTGTTGTGAAACTTTGAATTTAAGTTTACTAAGAAGTGAGGTTAAGATTCAGTACTGACGTTCAATCCGCGCGTCTTACTATGTTTCTATATGCAAAACTTAAAAGACATCCCTCGTGTAATGTTTTCAGTTCCCATGTACATTCCACCATGAATGCCTGGGTGTGTCAGCGACAAACGAAAAGAAGCAAAATTACTGCATGATTCTTTTTAGTCCACTTGCTTGAAAAACATTTTCTGTTAGACCATTATATGAATCAGGTAGCCCGTTAAGCATTGAAGAGCGGACACAGATTCCTAAATTCGCTTCTGGTCAATATTTTGGTTATTAGGAATATTTCATGAATAAAAGAATAAAATTGTTAGAATAGAGACAACAAGAGAATAAAAATGATTTTCATATTGTCAACCTTAGGGAGTTTTGATATACAAATATAGTGAGATTACAAAAACCAGGATATTGAGGCTGAATCAACGAGCTGTCTAATCAATATGATGGCCTAACAGGAAAAAAAATTTCAAGCCCGTGGATTGAAATGAATAAGGCAAAAATTCTGTGAAAAAATTGTCATGCGCTATCTTTTAGAATTCCATGAGGATTCCAAAACTTCAAAATGACTTTTTGAAAGGCTAGACACTACCAGTTTTCACCGAAATACAGCCTGTCACTAATCACCGAAAAATTTTGCATTGTACTTGTATTATACAAAGTAGTTACGTTATCTGTTTCAAACAACAAGTCGAATTAGGAGGAGAAACTACCCAACCATAACTACCTGTATATAAAATACTACCATACGTACCTATGAACTTCGTGGTGATATAACTCTTTGGACGTCTATCAAAGGCATTTACAAAGTAGGCTAAGCTAGAAAAAATAAGTAGGAATAAACTTGATAGGATTGACAGGTTAAATAGAATAAAATTCATAGAGTAACTTTTTCTGCATTGCTATTCCCAATGATATGATTGATTCATTCTTTTCAATAGAAAAATGATTGCCGCCATCTCCGATAAAATATATTTACATAACAAACTTCAAGCCAAATATTTTTTATAGCCTCCTATTTCGTCTTAATACAAAAACATTGCAAGCCAAGATTTAACTCAAATGCTTCCTTATCGACCCCTTACAACCCAAAGTTAGTCCTGGGTGTCGAAATGCGCAACATTCGAAAGCCAAGTCGAAATCGAATTATATTCCAGGACAAATTTATCTTCTAATCTCGGATCTTGTGCGTTATGATAACGTGAGCGTCATCTGCTCGCGGCAGTAACCACCGCCGCTATATCACGAGCGCCCTCTGTTGGCAACATCGCGAATTACTCTCGAACGTAGTAGAATATGGAACGATGTCATGCAGATAAAAGATTTGGATGACTAGAAAGCAGTCAGTCAAACTTAGAAGCAGTAGACGCAAGCGCGGATCACAACCAGGAGATAAGTTTGTTATAGAATAGTGGTATGCGGTGTTATAAATCAGTGCGAATAATGACTTGTGAATTACTTTGCTTAACTCGTGATAGGTACTTGCCGCAAGCTGAGGTGGTACATCCCCGAGGCTGCAAAGGTAAAATCAATATGTGACCCTGTGGCATCTACTTGCGACTATAACCAGAAACAGACTCGGGGACATAGTTACCACCTCGTGCAGCAGTCAATATGTAGACTCTTTGTAATTTCCCCTGGGTCATGACGAACACGTCAACCAAAGCCAAAGGAACCAATACGTACATTGAGGTAGGTGTAGCTTGCTTTCCATACAGAGACATCACATTCTTCCTGTAACGCTCTAAAAGATACAATAGATTCTCCACAAAATCGTTTCCAAACTTCAAATTCGTTCCACCTTTCTCTAATATATCATAATCAGCAAATTCTGCTGATTCTAAGGATATCATCTTTAGCTTGTCTCTTAGCAGCTGCTTGGAGTTCTCATCCATCCTTGACTCTTCTAAGCTTCCATCAAAAACGACTTTAAGGCCTTCAAACAATTTGTGAATTTTGTCATTCCAAATGCCTGTTAAACTCGTTGGTACTAAGCTATAAGCTATAGACGTGGCAACTTCCGGCATAAGTTGGTTAGCTATGTTGAAACAATTGTTCTCAGTGTTTATCGAAGGAGGGAGAACTATGGTCAAGTATAAATGAAAGGCATGGTATTCTGTTAGCAGTTGCCTGAGAGTCCTGAAACAAGGAACTGGGTCAAGGAGGTTGTTTTTGACTTCATGGTAAAGGCTCAAAAATGTATTGACTGGAATTCCATTTGGCACGAAACGTTCAGCACTAACGCAGCAATCAACTTTGAACATTGACAACGACGGCGGGTGGGTGACAGGTTCGGATTTAGGAAATAATTTAGTGAGTCAACAAGAATATATAAATTGTAGATTTAATTATTAAGCAACCCAAATTCTTTTTACTATGCATCAAAGTCACCAGAAAGTATAAAAGTCAATTTCAGGGTTTTTTGGATCTTGACGTCCATAAACTACTTTCACTGCGTCCAAAAATTGACAGCATCTTGAGAAACATAGAAAAACTAATCTTTTTCGCTTCCACTTTTCACCCCACATAATTCGATAGTATAGTTTAGTTAAGCATTGAGTTGTAATTTATGATAATTAGTTAGTGTTTAAATAAATGTCTTCATTAAAAAAAATCCGATAAATATTTTGTGTCAAAAATTTTAAGACATAGGTTAATTTATCGGTCGATATTTGTATCTAACTCGAATGGTCCAGAATTTTGACCTTTGTTGGTTAAAGGCATGAGAAGAACTACAGAGAAGATTTTATATTCCACTTCCAAGTTCATTAAATATTTAGAATGGAACTAAACTGTAATCGTTTTTATTGCATAAAATATGAGATATTCCGTTTGGAAAATTTCACAATTTTCTCCATTTTTTCTATAATATATGACATATTCGACAAGATACCTTCAACAAAGGAAGGTTGATATAACATATTATAGTGCTCTGATATTGATTGATGGGTTATAAGCGAATCATTGTACAAAAACGCTCAGATTTGAGAGCCTGCTAGTTTACGATTTTAAAAGATACTGATTTTATATTCTGGTATTTTGTATTCTATGGCTTACATTACAGGTAATACCGTCACCTTGAATTTTCAACTGTCACTGTCACGCTAAAAAAAGTATTTATGCATCAATTTCGTCGCCCTGAAGAAGTTTGAAAAACACTTTATGTAGCATATGTGCTTATGAGTACCTACGTCTTGTTATACATCTTCAACATATTAAACAAGTTGTCAAAATATTTTAAAAATGACATCTGCACCATCTCATTTCCATTAAATGTCCTATCGACGCCAAGGTTGTGAAAGAGCTTTTTCCAATCCACCAGGTCATATCTTCTTTTTAATTCACTAATTGATATTGGATCGATCGCTTTGTATAAATGATCCTGTCGAATTTCATTTGGGGACGGACGAATACCCTGAAAATAGATTCGTGTAATATTCCGCACTTTTGTATCTATAGCTACGGGACGTACCTGTATTGCATTTAAAAATTCCAATAGTTCGCCCGTGTTCAACTGAAAAAACGTGACAATTATAAATTGGGTTAGGTTTAGGACTTAATAACAATATAATAACATTGATCATTCTTGTAAGTTACAGGTGCTCCAAACTTGACTGCAAAGATTGAAGAAGTACTTCTTTGTGTAGTGTGCCCGTGCTATTGCTCTTGTTGGCGATTTTCTTATTTTTGCCTCATTTCAAAGATACAGAACGAACGTGATTTTCATCATCAACTCTCATATTATCAACAATCATATGAACTTGTGCTTGGTTAACATTTTTTTGCAAAAATATAACGAGACCTTTGGACAGATCAAAAGAAACCTAATTTACGTTTTGCTTGATATTCGTATGTAAACCCCTAGAATCCTCCCTATTGGTTCATCTCAGTTATTCATTTCTTTGGACCTACTGCTTTATACTTATTTACTCACCGTGTTTTTTTTTTGTAATGTGGGTAAGCAAATAGTGTTATTATGGGACAATTACTCAATTTACTTATCCTCCAAATGAAGCATTTATTAAAAAATCATCAAAATGTAAAATAATCCCCGAATTATTTCCAGCATCCTTATCTTATTCGAGTTAGTTCTCTTCCCGAAGTAATTGTCATTAAATTGATGTCATCTCATAACGTTTTCCAGTGTTAACCACTTTTACATTCTTTAAGAAAAATGCTTAGTGCTTTTAAAATAATTACCAGATTAGCACTGGATGATGTGTTGCTAAGGTACGAAACTTCTTTTTGAAAATTCATATAGTAGCCTTCCAAGGTTTGCTCTAGGCATTTATTGAAAGCTTGAAATACATCATGTATATCAACTCCAGGTTCAGTTATGGTGCTTTGTACAAACTCCATACAGCTTTTTCTAACGATCTCATCTACTGTCAATCCTGTCAGTGTTATCTTTATGGGGCTTTCCATTGATGGAGGCATTAACTGTAAAAATAAAAAGTTATAAAGACTTTTAAGAAAATGTCAGTATTATTTTATCCATATTCATTAGACAATTACAGTTAATATAAAAGTTGTGATGATTAAGGAAAGCTCTCACAAAGCGAAAACCTCGAGCAAATCGAATTTCTCCTTTCACTTCCAGACCCGCAAAAAGTCCAACTTTTCCAATAATCGGCAATCCATCGTGGGGGTATTTGATGACCAGAAAACAAATTATGTTTCTTTTTTATATGAAAAGGATTGATTTTTCAAGGCATGTATTGTGCTCATATTTCCAAATATGTACTATCTGCATAAACGGTATTCAAGGTATTTAATGTTCAAATGAGACTGTATTAGACCGTATTCTAATTGGTGTTGTTCAAGTTGATAGTTTGCTACATTTACTACATAAATATGAAAATAAAACAAATCTGAAAACGCAAAGCAAATATTACATCATTTGTACAAAACTACGAGTCGATAAATGGTGCCGTTAATGAAATGAGCATTTACTGTTGTTCTGTTCGGTCGGTATATTTTTGTGTATATGTCGACACAATGATGGTCGCGACATTTGTGTCAAAAACGGGTCATATCGTAACAATTCCTCCTAATGAGCAAAGAACTGTTACTGCGGATTGGTATACCATTTGTTTGCCAAAAGTCATCACCGAGCTTCGAAAAATCAACCCCGAAAGAAGAATCATCCTCCACCAAGACAATGCAAGCTCGCACTCAGCCCATAAAGCAAGGCAGTATTTAACGAAAGAAAACGTGGAATTATTGGACCATCCTCCATATAGTTCCGATCCAAGTCCTAACGATTTCTTTACTTTCCCGAAAATTAAAAACAGGCTGCGTGGTCAAAGGTTCCAGTCACCAGAAGAAGCAGTTGACGCATTCAAAAATGCCGTTTTGGATCTGCCAGCAAACGAGTGGAATAAGTGCTTCGAAAATTGGTTCGAGAGCATGCAGATGTGTATAATATAATCTTCGTGGAGAATAATTCTAAAAACAACAAAGTCATTTAAAACTACCTACCGTGTTATTTTATTTCCATATGCAAAACTTAAAACACATCCCTCGTAATAAATACAACGTTTTAATCTATTCTTCTTTCCGGTTAGATTAAATCATGCTTGATTATTTTTCCTTTGATATTAATGATAATGTAGTACCTTGTTATATTATCTACTTTATTGGAGCAACACTGTATTGATTACAGCGTTTGACTAAAATAGCTGAATGCAGTAACGAAGTTAATGTGGTTGTTACGGTGTTTGACTGAAAATGTTCACTCATTGCAGGGAACGACTGAAATGCTTAGCAATACAGGGACTGACTAGGCATTTCAGGAAATGAGGGATTTCAGCGTTCGACGCCGACATATACACATATATTAACTTTTAAACTCTGTATCACTTTGTTGCTTGTTATTTATGTATGTGCTGGATAGCTAAGAATTACGAGGAACATTTTTAAAGTAGGAATATATTGCGCAGCTTTCCCATCCTGTCACGTGACGTCTGTTCAACCTCAGACATTATTCATTCAGTCATTCACTACCCTTACATTTGTCGTCTCTTTTGGTATTGGCTAGTTATAGTGCTTTGTCTGTCAAAACGCAAAAAAATCTTAACCTGCTCTCTAGCGACGTCATTCTGCTTCACAGCAGCGCGCGGATCACTTTTTCATCCACCGAACATCCCTGACTCAGCACCATCAGACTGTCATCCTCTTACATACCATAAGGAACTTTTTGGTGAATTTTTGAGGAAAAAACAGTTACTAACCGGCTTAACGGTCAGGCGGCAATGTTATTTTACTAGGGGATTCCAAGACTGGCGCCACGAGTTGGAAAATGTTTAAATGTTTATGATGACTGTGTTGAAAAATACAAAAATGCTCATACTCTCCATTACAGAACAGTTTTAAAAAAATGTTCCTCGTACTATTTATTTTATATTAACGTTTCTCCAACCAAAGCAGGCATGCCATTACAACACCGAACATTAATTATAAATGATAGTGCTGACACTGTCGAAAGAGTTGAAGTTATTAGATACTTAGGAATCACTGTTGACAGTAATTTAAAATGGCAGAGTCATGCCGAGCTTTTGGCATCGAAATTAAGGAGAATTATTAATAAGTTTTTCATTCTTAGGAATATTTTAAGCAGAAAGAATGTTCTCTCAATCTACAACTCGTTTGTGGGGTCTCTACTAACTTACGGGATAAGTATATGGGGAGCCGCATACACTAGTATTTTAAAAATACTACAAACCACTGAAAATTATATTGTCAGGACTATTTTTCGTATCCCATGTAGGTCAGATTTGTTTACATTGAAAATGATCTTTTGAATGTTAGAGGTTTATATATTTTTGCTGCTCTGAAATTTGTTCACTCCAGAAACAATGTTCCAACCAGCCACGCTTATGAAACAAGAACTAAAATAAATATACTCGTAAGTTACACTTATACTAGAGTGAATAAATCTGTTTGCCAAAAATGCATAAAGTTTGATGGTATTAGGTTGTATAATAAATTACCCCTAGAATATAAAATCCTCTCGAAGTATAGTTTCAAAAAAATAATTAAGAAGTTTATCTTAAATAACTTTGACATGCTTGCATCGACTGTAGCTTGACTCAACTCAGTCATTTCGTTTCTATCTAATGTTTTTTATTTCTTTTTTTTTTCATATACATTTGCTCATAAATATACTTTATAACCATTAGCCATGCACTGAATTTGTATATTGTATGACACACACAAGCTTATAGCTTACGTGTCTATTCTTTTGTAGTAAATTCTTTTGTAGTAAATTGTAGTAATATTGTTTCTCTGCTTATCCCTGAGGCAAAATTTTTATCGTTTAAACAACATAGTTTGACCTTACTCGAAATATCCCTATATTATCATATTTCAGATATTCATATTTTATGTACTCTATATTTATACTTCTGAGTGTTTTTAGTATGCTTCTGTACTATTGTTATGAATTTTAGATTTGTTTATTCAGACACGTAATTTAGGATTTGTGACGACAAGATTCAGACATTTACCCTTTACGAAGGTATACAGAATTTTCACAATTCATATACCGTTACTTGTTGGTTCTAGATCTGATGCTAGTATCTTTGCTTAGATTTCTGTTGCAACCTTGGTTATTAAGGGTAGCAAGAGCATACAAGCTCATGTATTTTTGAAACTGTTTTTTTATTTAAATTGAACTGAAGGTTGTTTTTAATTTGTAAGTTATATTGGTTGTTGAATTTGAATAAACTTTGAAAAAACTTTAAAAAAAATTCTGTAAGAATAGTTTTCTTCGCGTGATGACTAAAAAAGTCACGAATAACTGAATAAAGGGAAAATAGTTCAGATGTCTACAGTTATCGATCTAATAGGCCCATTTGCACCACTGAACTGAATAAACAGTAATGACTGTGTTCAAGAATACATTTACCAGTTATCACAGCCTGAAATGTTACAATAGGGTGCTATAGATATAAGTAAGCTTCAAAGCTTCAGTTTATTTAAACGAAAATCAAAAGTATGAGTAAAAAGGTTAAATAAAGAGAATATAAAAAGCGATTTTACCTTCAACAAAAATCACATGTTCAAATAGTATTTCGACCTATACATTTTTTCTGTTTAGAATTATAGAAAAGTGCTTAAAATTATTATCTTTTTACTTCCACAGGGGTAATTATCTTATTTTTTATGCCATGTTCAAGGCTTTGCCTTTTGTGGCTTATTTATTTATTCTTTAGACGTTACAGGTTTTACATGTGATATTCTGTATATAATGACAAGTAGATATTGTATTTTTTGAATTTTAAAAAATAGACCCTTACCTGGAACTGGTAGTTTTGGTTTACGTCAATATCTAAGCCAATATCAAATAATGGTGACGATTGCGATAAAATCAGCTTGCTAAGGATTTCCGTCAAATCATCTACATTAATATAAGTCAACACTGAAAAATTAAAAATAAATGGGTAAAATATTGGATTGACTAATGACACAAGTGAATGGAACAATTGTAAAAAAATTAATTGTATGCGTTAATAAATCACTTTTAGTATCCCCGATAGGGTTGAATTCCACACGTTATCAAAGCTAAGGAGACACGACGATCTTTAAACCTGGTCCCCGCGTCCCCTTGCTGGGGATCGATTTGGAAATCATGAAATCCGGTTTCACAGAAAATTTAAGCATAGCAGTGTTTGTAGTGCTCTTTACACTTGAAAAGTATGCAACTATGATTCAGTCCTCAGAGTAGTAAGAGTTTTTCGCGGACCTTTCTCAGATGCCTCTTGATCCTGCAGAGATATTTGTTGTAGAAATTTTACGTGACGTATAAGAAGACACCTCATTTTTGAGTAAGTTGTTGTAAATTATAACCGTTAATGCACTTACTTTGAATAACTACAACTGATTTATTTACGAGCCAGGACCGCATATAATTGTTAGATTAAACAAACTTAGTTCTATCTTAATTATATGCGGGACTTGTGAAGTAAATAGCGTCCACCCATACCTAGTAAACCCGAGAGGGTGCTAGAACGTGGAACTTTGAAAAAGGATGATATCACCAGCGACGGGATTGGGGGATAACGTTGAAAGATTGTTGCTCTTTTCTAGCTTGGATAACGTGTGGAATTTGTCCCAATCGGGGATACTACAACTGATCTAACTACTTCACGAGGCCTGCATAAAATTTGGGTAGAATTTCAGTTACGGTAACATCGTTTATTCAAACAATTATTAGCGTTTCATTTTGATCAGGGTGGTGCAGATTCTGTGGACGAATCACACTATTTCAGCTTAAATGTGTCCCTAAAGGGACATATAACATACGTCATCTCTTATATCTTGTTACTGCCTAAAAAACATTTTACCTGATTTCGTTAACTATTCCCGTGCTCTTATGACAAAAAAATAGAAAAGAAACCCATGAGAAAACGGATCTTAAAAACTGATTGCAGTCAAAGTCACAAGTAAGATGTGTAAATTGTTAGACTGTTAACAGTTGACAAGACTATCACGAGCTCCTGCGGAACGTGGAATATCTTAGAACTGAGATCAAAACTAGCTCAGAATGCGGGCCCACTTGACATGAATCTAAAAACTGGTTTTTCTCAAAAGAACATAAAATATGCACCAGAGCGAAACTAGTTTCACCAAAAGAAAGCGTCTTATTTTAACCCCAACCGTTTTATAACGCAAGTATTTTCAAGCTACAAACTTACGTTTTCGCAGATTTTCTTTATAATCAAGCTCAGGATAATAGTTTTCACAAGATTCCAAAAATGTCTTATATGCTTCCAAATGCGGAGTAAGCGTTAAGTTTCCTCTCAGCAGCTTCTTAACTTTGTGATAATGCTCGGAATTTGTTGTATCATCCATGATCGATCTTCCTCCACAAACAAGTTCATGGAACTCTTCACATGGATCGGCGTCGTGCTTCATCATCAGAAGCATTTGTGAAGACTCGTGCTTGCATGGAGTTGAATCGCAAAATTCTGAACAGTCATTTGAAAAGATGGAGTCAATAATACTGGCGAAGTACTTCCCACGCATCTGCGTGACGTAAGGCTATGAAACTGTAGGTTTATAGTGTAATTGATTATGCTAAAGTAATTTCAAAATTATGTTGAATATTCTTCAATTTTTAAATTATACGCTAGATTCTAAATACATTTCATGTATATCGTCGTGCATCCAAGTTAAATCGTTTTTGAAATATTCTCATATTTCTTCAGAGGTTTCCACTGTGCAAATTAGTAGTTTCCGGAACATATAAATATTGATTTTTCTTTAATGGTGTTTACCATAGGGTGACGCGGCGACAGCGCGATATTCTTGATAGTTTGACTGATTTCCGTCATAGTCAATTAAAATTTTCTTTATAGTAAAAGCCTGATGGAGCGTAAAAAACCCAATGATTCCATATATATCGAAAACTATCAATATGCGAGACAACTTTATATAACATTAACCTTACTTTCAATGCTTGAAATGATGTAACTACAGTATATTCAGATAAGAGATAGACCGGATGTAAACAAAAGGTTCGGGTGATTTTCACGCTAACGCCGCCGTCTCGACGTAAAACAGGAGCCCTCATTGGTCAATTCGCAATTAAATGCCTATGCCGAGCGGCAGAGCAGTCGTATCAAGGCAGAGTCACATTCAGGTTCAGACGTGTTACGTATGTCGTGTGCATCATTGCAATTTGATATTTCTTTGGACGTTTTCGTTTGTTATCTTATTAAGTTGTTGAGTTTGTCGTTGTTATTGTTATACCTTGTTATTGATTGTTATTGTTATCAACTGCTTGCGCAAAATGCCCAGTAGTACAGATACTGCCGATGAAGTTGTAAACTCCTGTAGTCCACCTAGGAAACGTTCTAAAAAAAGACACCTGAGTGCAGAAATGAAAGAGGTCATTTTGAATATATATAAGATCGAACGCGAGGAGAACGAGGCATCAACCAGAACCTCGAAATCAAAAAATATACTAATCAATATTCTAAAAGCAATTTTAAGAGATATACGATTATTTTTAATTTAGGCTAATTTAAACGCCATTTTAAGATTATATTCGACTGTATTTCACCAAACATCAGGCGGAATCCGAAGCTGCAAATCGAAGCGAAAACTTTGAAACCCTTATGTATATTTACATCATTATATATTTCTTACCCCACCCCCACATGATCCTATATCCATCACCAATCGTATACACATCGAATTGTGCTAATTTACTACAAAGTTACGCAAAGCATCATCTACTATCTAAAATATGTACTGCGTGACTCTTAATACGTCCCTGCCGAATGTTACAGTGTTCGATGATCACGTGGTCTTGTTTATGTCCGGTCTATCTCTTATCTGAATATACTGTATACTGTATTTTTGTTTTATAGAATATAACATTCGTTCTCCTCTTTGACCTCCATCTGTTATCCAAATTCAAAATAAGATCTGATAAAATAGGTCCCCTACTATAAGATGAATCATGTGATAAAAGTTAAAGTAAGACCGCCACCATCTTGAAAATATTTTAGCCACATTGCTCATACCATTTATACTAGAAACCCAAATTTTCATAGCTGTTTCGCGTCAGCTTTACGAGCAGTCTATCACTGTAATTCTACCTGAAACACCCTGTATACCAAGAGTGTCCTTTGTGTAGTTTTCGTATCTCCTAATCAATGGCAAAAAATGTAGCTTAACCCATTTTGTGTAATTTTCAGTTATAATCCAAGTGAATTTTTCGATGGAAAACCTTCTCACCTGTAGCAACAAGTTGTTTCAACAAAATGAACACAGTTGGAAAAAGTTGCAGTCGATGCATTTTCTCAGCCACTATTGTAAGAACTAAAGCAGTCGCTACTTTTTCCAGGATACCACTAATTAACAGAATTGATGCAATTTTTTCTCTTATGTTATCTAACGCGGTTTCCTCCGTGGGTAAAATGCATTATATCATCAAGATATTGCGGTTACATCAGCAAAAATAAGGAGAAGTAGATTCTGTTTGCATACTACTTTTATTTATACGGAATTATTTTACCAACATGTTTTAATTTATTTTGTCAAAAAGTTTTTCATGAGAAATATCTTCCAAAGTGACTATCTCTGATAGGTATTGACGTTTTCAAAAATGCTTGCGTCTCTATGGGCGAACAGGTATGATAGTTATGCAGATATTGCATAATAATCTCATATTTGCTCACCGCTTTGAAATCGATCAGTTTTTTCGAAAACGAGACTGCCTACCTTAGGTTTCCTGACTAAGGCCTAGCGTGACCAGAAAATTGAGAAAAGCGTTTCAACAAGTAACTTCTACCGAACTTACGGCTTTGGTTTGTGACACGCTGGTTCTGTCATTATTCAATTATTGCGACTCAGTTTATGGGCCTTGTATAACAAGGTATGATGTCGATCGTATACAGCGTGTCCAAAACTCTTGTCTTAGGTTTATTTTTGGGAGTGAAGAAATTTGAACATATTTCTTATAGGTTACCTGTAATAGGAGGGATAAATATGGAAGCTAGGAGAAATCTGCACTCTGCAGTTTTGTTTCATAAAATTATTCTATATGAAACTCCGCCTTATTTATATAATAAGATTACATTTCGAAGTGATGTTCACAATACAAATGTTCGGTATCGGAAGCTGATTTCCCAACCACGTCATCATACATCTATGCTTAACAGATGTTTTTCTCATTTCATCTACCGCTTGTACAATCACATCCCCACAAACCTTAGCAGCTTTTAAAAGAAGATACAGAAAATTTCTATTCGACGAATTGCAGTGTTTACTTTATATTGCTTCTTTCCTTTTTATATTCTAAATCTTTTTTTTTTGCTAAATCTGCCTAAAACAATTTGACGTTTTTCGTTAAATTATATTTTTTATATAATTTCTTTATATACAGGATGGCCCATCCATGTGCGGACGAAATATTACTCATAAACAAATACATTTTGGGAAAATCTATATATGGCACGTTATACATGACATTTAAGGGCACATTTCTAAATACAGGGTGTCCCAATTTCGACCTACATACAAAATTTGTGATTTTTCAAATGGAATGCCTCAAATCTTATAGCATATTTGGATAAACCAGTTCAAAAATTGATATAACATACTATGAGGTTTGGGTAATTAGCTACTGAGATATAAGGTGTTTTGTCTGGAAAACCCCCCCACTTCGACAGCCCCTCAGTCCGGCATTTTGAAATTTGGAGTACTGAATTTTCTATCAAAAAAAACCTACACACCTCAGCTTTTATCTTATTTGTTACATTTACGAATTTTAATTTGTGCACATACAGGGTGGTCAAAAATTTCAAATGCATCAGCCTGTATATTTTGTGCAAGTTTGTATTCAATTTTTTGTAAGCTTTTTTTGATACTGGACACATAAGGATTTTTAAAGCTATTTTTTCGGTTATTAGCACGTCTTTTATGGAACAACTTAATTCTCTAAAATATCGCATCATCCTTGGAAACAAATACATTGTTGATTAGTTACAAACTGTCAAAATTAGCTTTGGGAGCATTATAATAAAAACGTGTATGAAAATAATGTTTTCTAAAGAAGAAATGGTGAATATGGTGTTCGTTTTGGGCGAAGCAACGGTACCCCTAATATGCGACATCCAAGGCCGGAAACATTTTCCACACTACGAGAACGTTTTAAATCAAGTGGAGCAGTGGAATATAGTAAAAAAATGTATAAATAATCCAAGTATCACCAATGAGTCGAATCAGTTGGAGGTTCTATTAAAGTTGCAGGAAAATCCCCATTTAAGTGCACGGCAAATTGGAGCAGAAACTGATATATGCAGAACTTCTGCCCAAATGATTATTCACAAGCATAGGTACCATCCATATCACCTAAGCTTGCATCAAGGCCTTCGTCCTCAGGATTTTGCAGCGCGAATGGAGTTTAGTAGAATAATGCTAAATAAACTGAGTGAAGACACTACTTTCCTGTATAAGGTTCTTTTTAGCGTTGAGGCAACTTTTAACAGCACTATTATGCGATGGAAACCCTTACTAGGTTAGGCAAATAGATTTCCAAAATAAATGAACCTGGAATGTTTGGGGAGGAGTTATAGGCAGACAAGTTATCGGGCCTTCCTTTTTCGAAAACAGATTAACAGGTACAAAATACTTGAATTTTCTGATCGAGCATTTGCCTTTGCTTTTGGAGCATGTCAACCTGCAAACTCGGATGCACATGTACTTCCAACGCGATAGCGCATTATCATAATCGTGTGCGTAACTATTTGGACACCTGGAGTAACAATCGTTGGATCGGTCGTGATGGGCCTTATAGGTTACCAGATATGACACCGATGGACTTCTTTCTATGAGGCTACGTTAAGCAGAGGTTTATAGATATCCACTACCTACCCCGGAAAATATGAAGGAAAGGATAAGGATGATTTTCTTAACCTAAGGGAACACATGCAACGGTCATGTATCCAAAGATTATGACTGTATATTCAACATGGTGGAGATATTTTCGAGCAGTTTTTGTAGATTAGGACTTGTATAGTGATAATTGTTTGTTTATGTTGTTGTTATAGCTGTTTTTCTCTATTACGCTTGAAGCTGATACTGTTCTGATTGATATTAGTTTTTACGTCAAGTCTGTACTCTTAGTGGCAATATGGAGCTAGCATACTGTTTGTCTTTTGTTTCCATGGATGATGTTTTTCCTTAATTTTGGTGTGTTGTTCTATTAAAAGCTTAGTAACTCAAAATCTAGTGATTTTATTTGAATCAAACCTCATACCGAAAAAAAAGCTTATAAAAAACTGAATCCAAACTTGCACAAATATACAGGGTGATGCATTTGAAATTTTTGAAATAAAGTACAATTTGCGTTTTTGGCCACCCTGTATGAGCAAAAATGAAAATTCGAAAAAGTAACAAATAATATAAAAGCTGAGGTATGTAAGTTTTCTTTGATATGAAATTTAGCACTCCAAATTTAAAAATGGCGGATTGAGGGGCTGCCGAAGTGGACGGTTTTTCTGGACATCTCAGTAGCTAATTATCAAAACCCCATAGTACGTGATATCAATCTTCTTCTTTTGAATTGACTTATGAAAATAAGCAATAAAATTTGAGGCATTCCATTTAAAAAATCACAACTTTGATATGTAGGTCAAAATTGGGACACCCTGTATAATTGCCAATATCTTAGAAATGTGCCCTCAAATGTCATGTATAACTTGCTATTAATAGATTTTCCCAAAATGTATTTGTTTATGAGTAATATTTCGTCCACACATGGATGGGCTACCCTGTACATATATTTTTTTTGAAGTTTGTAATTATTATTTATTCCTTATTAATATTAACTTATATAATTTGGTTAAGAACTCCTCTGTTATAATTTTGTTTGTTGGGCTAGTACTCTGATCAGCTCGTCTCTTTACTAGTCCCTTTTGCAGGGAATTCATGTTCTTTCTTCATTTTTAATTTTTCCTCTTTGTATTTTTTTTTGCTCTGCAAGTAAACGCTATTATTATTAAATACTTCAATGCTACATGAACAGATCTCTACGCAAAGAAGGAACATGACAATTCACCACGAAATTCCAACGACAGAATGACACCGCTGTACCTGACCCTTATTTTTCCACCCTGTATATGAAAAATGCAAGCAAGAACAGACTGTATTACCTCAACTGGTCGGCATCTTCCTCTTTTTAGAGCGAAAACCGTTTTCACTGTTTTACCCCAGTGTAAATCTGTCTCGCTTGTCGACGCTGCTCTTGATATACGCCACAATCCACATTCCAGCTGAAATAAGATAAGGGCCATCAGGATTTTATGAATATCATATAAGAGCAGTGGTGCAGTTGGCGGAAAGACAATGATTGCAGGCTGAGGTAGCAGAGATAGGTTGTTATAGGTCGCTTACATCCATCTTGATCCCGAATACATGTAGAATGGAATCAGATTCATCACAAAAGTATGTTTTTTTGGTGTTTGTATCAATTGTTATCTGATTTCTTTGTTTATATTGTGTTCAGTAGTTTGTCTTTATCATGTCAGATATCAATAGTGGTAAGTTTTTGTGTTGTCATAAATGCCAAGAAATAGGGAAATTTGGTACAAGGAAATCCTACAAAAAATTGAATTGACAAATTTTTTGGTGGAATTTTGATAATCGTGTTTGACCGAAAAACTTGAAAGCCATCGATATTATGAAAAAAGTGATAGAATCTTTGTTTTAGGAAATCATTACAATATTGCTTCTATAAAAATTTGTCACATGGGCATCGTACTAGGAATTAAACGGTAACGGTACATGTAATAATATTTTCGCTCATAAATGCTAAACTCAGAATGAGTTACGGAGTTATCTCCACGTAAAAATATGTTGTACGCTGGCACTTGGACAACGGAGGTAGCGTGAGGAGTATGTCGCGCGACCGTTTTGATACGAATTTTCAACTTTTACTCCTCATACTTCAGAAACCCATCACGCTATCGAAAAGACTTGTGAGATTTGTTTATCTCTTCCAACAATTTCCTCTTTCCTCTTAATCTGATAAACTTATATATTCTTTGCACTACTTTTTTCTTTTTTTTTCTCTCTTTTTCTCTGTATTTCAATGATTTCTGGTTTATGAGCACCCAGGACTGACAGATTCGACAAAGGTACATTAGACAGTAATAAATAAAGGGCAAAGACCTTAAAGAAGAAACAAATGACGAATAGACTTAGATTAACGATTATTTTATTTACATCTGACTTTTTTTGTAACAAATGTCACTCGCTTCCGAAAATTTAGTACTCATTATGCTCTTAGATTGTTAGTTTAGCCACTATTAGCAAAAATATCATCACAAGTACTTTTACCATTGAATT